GAATAGTTAACAGTGGTAACTCATAGGGGAAGAAGCTGTGACAGCACTGGTTCCTCCCAAGTGGAGTTTCAGTACAAAAAAACCATGTGTGGTCAGCATCTTTATTTCAGGACATGGCAGGATCCTGAGCAGCCCCTGATCGCTGGGCAGGATCCTGATCCATGGGCACCATTCTGAGCAGCCCCGGATCCACGGGCAGGATCCTGATCCAGGGGCAGGAACCTGAGCAGCCCCTGATCCATGGGCACCATCCTGAGGGACAGAGAAGGTCTGCCCCCACTCAGATCCAGCAGTTTGGGGCTTTGAGGAGAGCAGGGGGCGCAGGTTTGGGGCTGGAAGCGTCACAAGGATCAGCCGGGCACTTTCACCCCACACAGGCTGGACCAGAAGTTCCTGGCACAGCCTGTGAGGAGCCTCCAGCGCGGCTCCCGCACTCGGGGCTCCCCGGAGCAACCCCCGCCCGCCCCAGGCAGCTCCCGAGGCCACCCCACAAGGCGCGGAGACTCGCAGCTCCGACAACCGAGGCAAAGGACTCCCCCAAGCCCGGGGAGCAGCGCCCTAGAGGCGATCCCAGAGCGAGCATCAAGCGCTGCCGGAGGGACCGCGGCACGAACCCGCCATAGCGGCCTCCGCCTCTCCCCTCATGGCGGAGCCATTTGGTACCTCCCTCCTCCCCCCACCCCCAGCAGTGGTTTCACCCCGCCGCCTCACACACGGCGAGGGGCGTGGCCTCACCCTCCCGGCTTTCCCCGCCCCTCTTATCCATATTCATGAGGCAGAGACGGGCGGCCCCAATGCGGAGGGGCGGTGCGCTAAAGCCCCGCCCCCGGGCGATGAATATTGATGAGGCGCGCCGTGGCGTCGGGGGCGGCGCGGGCGGCGATTGGCCGGGCGCGGCGGCGCGCGGTGACGCGCGCGGCGGCGGTGCGGGTCCCGATTGCTGCAGCCGCTTGTCAGTGTGACGAAGATTGGCACCCGAGGTAAGCGCTGTCACTCAAACCCCGCTCCAGCCCCGCCGTCCATCACGGCGCGCCCGCCGCCCGGGCACGGCCGCACCGGGGAAGCGGGAGAGCGGCTGGGGAAGGGGCGAGCGGGGCGGCGGCGGCCAGGGGAGAAAGGGGCACCCGCGCTCCGCCGCCGCTCGCACGGACCGGGGGGTTTAAGGGGCGGTGGCGGGCGCGGGGAGGGGAAGGAGGAGAAGGAGGGGAAAAGCGGGGAGGGGGGGGGGGGGGGGGGGGGGGGGGGGGGTTCACCTTCAGTGTTGTTTAGAGGGGAGCGAGGCGAGGAAGGTTCTGGAACGGCCGCCGTGCGCCCGTTGTGTCCCGGCGGGGGCGCGCGCGGGGAGGGGACGCGGGAGCGCGCGCGGGTCCGCGCGGAGGAGGAGGAAGAAGAAGAGGAGGAGGAAGGAGATGGGGGCGATGGGATGGGGGGGGAAGGAGGGAGGGAGAGGAGAGGAGGCGACGCGGTGCTTAAAGGGGCAGCGCCGTGCTGGCCGCTCCTCGGAGGCGGGGGGGGGGAATCGGGGGGCGCCCCGGGGGGCTCCAGGCTCCGCCACCGCGGGGCCCGGGGCCGGACCGCGGGCTCGCCCCGCCGCGGCAGCTGCACCGCGCTGTCCTGCGGTCCCTCCTGCCGTGCCTCTGCCCCTCCACACCTGCCCTGCCCCGGGGGCACAGCGGGGAGGGGATGCGGAGATGCCCCCCGGCCGCTGCCCCGCTTTGGGGGATGCTCCCCCCGCGGTCACAGCAAGCGGAGCCCGGCCGGGGCAGTGCGCGCTGGGCCGCTTTGGGATTTTCCCTCGTTGCCGTCTCCTTTTCGGTGTGACCCCGTGGTCTCCCGGCTGGGTTGTGAGCAGACACCTTCCCCACAGCCAGGCCCGGGGTTGCCGGGTGTTTTTACGCGGCCGCAATTAGGAGCTGAGACTTGACACTGCCCAGAGGCCCTGCTGGGGATGTGTGTAAACAATAATAAATCAAGCGCTGGTTTTATCCCCGAGTGTTGCCTCAGTGAGCCACATGTCCCAGGTCTCATGGAGCAGTCCATGGCTTTCCCTCGCTCCCACCACGCCGGAGTTCGTCAATTAATAGTATAGCAATATAAGTAGTTAACACGTTCATGTGATAATTCTCCGTATAACTTATTGCTATTTTTAAAAATACAATTTACTAAATATTTTCTTTAGTCTTAAATGGTGATATGTAGTGTAATTTTAGAGGCAGGTCACAGTATTTGCTTATTTTTTTTAATCTGCTGCTGAAGTTTTTTAGTCCTTTTTTGCAGTTTTGTCTGAGTAAATGACTGGTGTGGTTTAGGGAGGGAGATTCACAGAATGGTTTAGGTTGGAAGGAACTTCAAAGATCTTCTTGTTCCAACCCCCTGCCACGCGTAGGGACACCTTCCACTATCCCAGGCTGCTCCCAGCCTCATCCAGCCTGGCCTTGGACTCTGCCAGGGATCCAGGGACAGCCACAGCTTCTCTGGGCACCTTGTTCCAGTACCTCAGCAGTCTCACAGTAAATAATTTCTTCCTAATACGAGACGCTATTATCTGGTATTAAACCCTTAAAATTGAATGAATTACGGTTTTGTTGGCTTTTTTTTTTTTTTCCCAATTCTTTTTTAAATTTTATTCTTGCACTTGAAAGCTGCCCAGGCAAGATGCATTTTTTTTGTCCTTGCTCCTCTTTGGAATAGGTTGTGTGCATTCCATTAAACAGATCCCAGGAACAGGGAACATGAGCATTATGTTCTGGATGTTGGAAAACGCTTGAGCCAAGATCCTGTGGAGGAGAGCAAGAAGCTGTAGGTCACTCTCAAAGTATGCTAAATATCTCAATTTTTATTTTTTTTTAAACTAAAAAAATCCTTTCTCAGTTTTTACAAAAAGTACGCACTTCTGGTCCCTATTTTATTCTCAAGTGTGCTCTTGCACAAAATTTTACTAGTGTAGATTGTTTAATGAGAATTGTAATAACTATGGCTTAGGATATCCACATATATTGCTGTTTTCCATACTGTGAATGCACTCCCAGGTTGTTCCCTGTCCTGTATGGGATTTAATCTGTTTATGGGCTGCCTGTGCTATGGGGTTATGTCCCTTCAGCTGGATTTGTATGTGTGGTTGAAGCGAGATGGCTTCTGCAGCTGGATGGAGTCCTGGTCAGTCCCTGTTAGCTGCATGTGTGAATTTTATGGATTATACTGAACCAGGAAACAAGTTGTGATTGTATCAGAAACCCATCCTTCCGTGTATTTCCAGGCTCTGGCATTGCTACAGTATCAAGCAACAACAAATGCATTTTGAGTGCATTTTTTATTAAGTAAAATTGCCGATTTATCCTTTTCCAAGTCTCTGTGTAATCACATATAGAACCATTACATTCAAGTTTTCGAATCCCCCAAACATTTCACATAATCTATTCAAAATAATTTGAGTTACTTTTCTCATGTATGTTCTATTTTCAGTTTATTTTATGAACTGTACAGTACATTTTTACTCTTGACTGTCACCACTTGACATATTTTTTTGTCATCTCATAATTAAAGTGTCCACAGGAAAACTTCATTGTAGGTTTTGCTGTTTTCTTTTCATACTCCAGTTCAGTGGTGAAAGGCAGAGCTCAGTGTGCTTCAGTCACAGGATGAATATGGGAAGTCACAGAGTAAAGTAGGGGCTGTTGTGCTGCACTGGGATTTTGGAGGCTCAGATAATTTCTCATGGATCTCCCCAGTGGCTTTGGGCCATGCTTTTTTTTTTTTTTTTTTAATTTGTGCTTATGTGTTTTGCTAGGCTGAAATTTTTTAGGGTTGGTGGGGATTTGATTTTGTATTTGGAAATTTCACTTTGGCGTGTAAAAAGTCAAGCTGGTATTAAGTACTTACAGTTTGAGTTCTACTTTTAATACATTTTGTAATATTTGGGTTAAATAAAAATAGTATTTTAAAACTGAGTCCTTGCAGTCTTCCATGATAGGACTGAAAGGAGTTTAGAATGAATGAAATACAAATTTAATTTCTTTAAAATGGTTAGTCTTCTGGAAGCTGTTATTTCTTCTTCAGAATTTTGCTTTCCAGCTGTATTTTTCTGTGCTGTAAATGCAGTGCTCTAATAAAGCCCTAATAATTCTGATTGTTACCAAGTTTGGGAGTGTGCAGGAGCAATTCAATTTCCTGGAAAACAGTAACTCTTTGGTGAAATTAAGCCGTGTGTTAGTGGCCGAGGGTGAATAATCACAGAACCACCACTGTGGCAGTGGAACTGCCTGTTCTAATGGCCATGTTAATGTCCTGAATGAAGCAGTCCAAATTGTATTTCAGAATATTATGTCATGGTCTGGGAGCCAAATGTTGCCTCTGCAAAACTGGCACATATGTGAAAGCTTACAGTAAAGCAGATTAATATTTTTATTTTGGTCTAAGTAAGACCAAATGCAATTTTTTGTGCGAAATTAAAAATGTTGCAAATGTTACTTCCCTTGCAGCAGCAGCAGCTGGTTACTTCACTTCTCACCTGTTCAAAGAGTCTGTAGGTTTAAAAATGAGAAGTCTCAGAGGGGTTTGTTTTGCCACAGCTCAGTGCTGTACAAAATATAAAACAACTTACTGCTTTTCTAAGCAAGAGGATTCCAAGAGCAAGGAGAAAAAGCTGCTGATGGAGTTCTTTAATTTGCTTATTTGATGCCAGATGTTGCCAAAATCTCTTACCCAGACCATTTTATGTCTCCCCAAGGGAATTGAACACTGAAATATTCACACTTGTAGCAGGTTCTTCACTTTGTGCACTGAGGTGAATTCATGCCAGAGCTGTGGAACATGGGGTTCGTTGGCTAGAACTGGGGCTGGGATAGAAAATAAAATAATGGCACCACGGATCTGGAAATGCCAGTTTTGTTGTTGTGGAGCCGTGGCACCTTTTTATGAAGTTGGTAACTTGGCAGTGACTTGGTTCCCTTGCCAGCAACAAGGGGATACCACATCATGTATGGCACTGAGAGGGAAACAAAACTCAGAAATTGTTCTCCCATGGTTGGTTCTCATCCATCACAGGATCACATTGTTTGGGGTTTGATGTGGCAGCTGCTCCAGGCCGTGGTGTTCTCATTTTTTAATACTTAGGTGTACAAAAGAGGTATTTGCTGTTAAACCTGAGGGCTGTTTAAGTACACAGAGTCAGAAGGTGATTTTTGAAAATGGGAGCTGAGTGTGATGATCACAGACTGTCCCTTGCCCTGCTGTGCCCAGGGATCTGCAGCTCTCTCTTCTGCAGCTGATGGGAAATTCAGGCAAAAAAGTAGAATATGGCAGCTTACTTCTGGAATACTGAAAGGGGGATCCATTTCTTTTAAACCTCCAAATTCCAACTTTTGTTTTATTGGTGAGGTTTGGAAATTGTCAGTGTTTTTTCTTGAGGGCAGAAGAAGCTAGGAAGTGTGGCTGTACTTCACATCCTGCTTGGCTTTTTATGAGTTACACAGCAAACAAAGGGAAAAGGATATTATCATACTTGCTGAAAAATAAGGTCCAAGCCTTTTATATTCCAAGGAAACAGAGGCAATTAGGGAACAGAAATTGGATCTTTACATGTGCTTAACATGCCTAGAGAACAGGGGAATGAAAATGTGTGTGCTGTATTGTGTGTTTTTGTATCTACAGAATTAATGAGTCAGTCTGTGATCACTTAATTTATGTTTTCTAGCCCATTTTTATGTGATCTAGGCTATGATAGTAGCAATACCGAAAGGGAGATTACCTGGTTGTCTTTTTTATTATTATTATTTTGAGGTGTTGATTTCAGTAGCCTAATTCTTAATCCTACTGAAATTTGCCATGATGAATATGTTTGAGCAGGGTTATTCTGCCAACTTTAAAATTACTCAGCATCTTGAGAATGACTTAAGAGAAAATAAATATGTTAATTTATAAGAGAGGCAGGATTCTTCTTATTTAGGAGCATATCAGCAGCTGAGTTGTGGATTTTAGTGTTGCAGAGGGGAAAGGAGCATAAGCATTCACGTGGAGCATATGGCTGTTCCTTGAGAAACTTCAACAGATCTTAACCTCTTGAAAAACCTGGTTTATATGGTTCTGGGCAAATATTTATTATCTAAATTACCTGAATATTCTGTGTAACACGAGTGTCTTCCTGTCTGTTGGTCCTTGCATGTCACCTGCCTGTGCAGTCATCACCTGGACCAAGTAGTTCAGCATGATGCAGCCCACAGCAGTAGGTGATGGGTAAGTTTAATCCTAAATAGTCTTTCTTTACCTCAGAACATTTAGGCAGCAGTCATAACTCCTGGAAGGATGGAGACTTGTGTTTGGGAGAGGTGGGGAGCAAGAATGGAGCAGGAAAGGAAGAGTTTTTATTTAATCCTTATTTAAAAAAGAAAATAACAATTACCTAAGTTAATTTTAAGACCTAAACTTAGTAGCAAAACATAGTTAATTGTTCAGGTTTGACCAAATTTTAGAGTCAAAACAGGGAAGATTTTGGGAAAGTTAGTGATGTATTAGAATTGGATTTCACAGAGGGTTGCAGGACCAGGATTTTGTGTCACTTTCAGGTTTTTTTGGCTAGTCCAAGTTAATGCTTGATTCATTAATGGGGTTGTTATTCCAGAAATCATAAAATACATAAAAATGAAATAATTGATAAGGGAACATCTTGATCTTAATGAATTGTTTAAATGCCAGAAATGTGGAGAGGGCATTTTCTTACCCATTCAACATCCAAAGTCCGTCTTAAATGCATTTATTATTTAAATAAAATTCCCGTTCACCTTTCAACTGTACTTCAATAGCATCAGGAACTCATGCCTTCTTAGAATAATTGGAAACTTTTATGGTTTTATAATAAAAATGTTGGAAAACATAACATATGCTTACACAAACTGCTCACATTGTAAAATATTCAATAGCAATAAAGGCAGAGAGACTGGTGGTTATTCTGTGTCTTCTTTATGAAACCACAAAATATAAACACAAAACAAGATTCATTTCAATCATAGTTTATTGGGTGCTGATGCAAATCATGATTAAAATAGGATTTCCTGTTGCTTTGCTTTAATTTGCCTGGAAGGAGATGGTTCCATGAGTGGTTCTCCAAAAGTAAGAAATTTGGGATGTGCTTGTGTGGATATTCCAAGGGCTTCAGTGGCAGGGGGATGGGTTTGTGTTTAGGGCATAAGCATCCCTGCTTATCCATGTGGGGAATGCCAGGGAAATGGGGAGGGTGGTGGAATTGTCGCTTTTTTCTGTTTACTGATTTTATTTATTTTTTTTTAACGAAATTGAGTTTGAAAAAGTAATTAAATATCAGTAAGTTGTACAGGATCAGTTCCAGCTGTGGAAGTGCTGATAAACATCCTGTGGGATGTAAGGAGTGTTCCAATGCCACCCTCTTGCCACGAGAGCAGCAAGGCAGATGTGACACCATCTTCCTGATTTTTGGGTCCAACATGTTCTGAAAGCACATTGGGTAAAAACTGAGGGCAAAAAAATCCTTCTCTGTCCTGTAACAGTAAATATGTTGTGAGGATTCTCATGCTGGACCTATAAAGTCCTTCTGTGTGTCATATTAAGAATACAGGAAAAAAGCAATCTTCATTTCTACTATGGTGGATGAGGGAGTGATGGGAAATATTTTTGTTCCCTAATACCCTAATCCCTCAAGAGTCTTGGAACAATTAAAGAGGGAGGTTTCCTTTCCCCCAAGTTTTGTTTTTCTCTTGCCAAAATTGCTGTTTAGTCCCCTAAATTCCTTACTATTACTTTATGGGGCTAATAAAGCAGGGTCCAATTACAGTGTGAATTGGGTAGGAGAAATGAGATGCTGCAGGAAGTTCCTTGAATTTGAAGATCTTTCTGTAGTCAGAAGAATGAAGATTCTATTTTGCAGAAGGTAGGAGAACAACCTGAGGATTTCCTTCTGGAATTCCAAGAGCTACCTGGAGGCAGGATACCTGGCATACATCCTTTTATGGCTGGATTGGGTAGAATTCCTCACCTTTCTCATCCTTGTTAAGAAGGACTGTGGTAAATTGATGACGACGTGGAATCAGGAATGTGTCCATGATTATGCACCTTTCCCTAGAAATATGCTGGTGTACACACCAAGGATGTGTGCAGAATTAGGAGCTGGAGTTCTTCACAAGACCCAGATTCCCTCAGTTTTATTTCTCTTGTTGTGCTTAGAAGAATTCCTATGATCTATGCATCCTTAATATTCATTTTATCAGTTAACTGCATATGCAATTTTAGCTTATAAAGTGCCACGTTTTTTATTCTTTTTTTTTTTTTTTTAATTTGGTACTTGCAAATAGGAGAATTTATAGAATTAAATGTGCCGAAAGCAGAGTTTAAACAAAGAGTGAGTTGCTAAAGGAACACAAATCTTTCAATGAGATGGTTTGTTGTTGGTCATGCTGTGTGACAATGTGTGGTGGTGCTTGGGAGGTGGCCTGTGGTATGAATACTTTGTATGGATTGTTAAGATCTGAGATGGAGGAATATAAAAAGAGGATGCTGTGAAAGATTAATGGGACAACAAAGCAGTAGATACACTGTTGGAGAGCTCTTGCTGAATAAAGTCACTATTACATAGTATGTATGTTCAAAATCCTACATGTAAAGAAAGGTTGATGGTGGCTTGGAGTGCAGTCTGTATTTCTGCAGAAATTCAACTTTCGTTGTGAATTTTAATTTATTTTTAATTTTCAGTTTCTTAAAGTATAATTTGCATTCATTTTTTTAATGTCATCTCATATTCATCAAGATTAACATATAAATAACTCTATTGCACCACCAAACAATAAAGGGAACAAAGTGACACAAAATAAATCTCATTTTACTGCAGCCAGAAATTGGTTTTGTGGCTTTTTAGGGCTTGACTCCCAGGGCAATTGACAGCATAGCTGTTGTAGAGTAACTGAGTGGCTGTATCTGTGTGATGGAAATCCCTGAGGCTGGTGTTATGTTCCTAACAGGAGCACTGTCTTTCTTAAAAGTATAATATTCTAAATAATGGCTGTACTTTTTAAGTACATGAGACAGAGGAAATGAAAGCCACCTTGGTGCTGAATGAGGAGAACATTCTCACTGAGCACAGTTTTAATAAACTTATCTGCATCAACTTCATATTGATTTGTTCGTCTTAATTTCTGTGAATGACTCTGCGTGGGCAGGTCAGTGGAGATGGAGATGGACTGCAGCAAAGGTGGAATGAATCCTGGATGTTGGCATGTGTGCTCTGCTTACTGCTTCATTATTTGAAGCAATTACTATTATCATTATTTGAATCTATAAAAATACATGGATCTTAATGTCTGCTCATATTTGTAGGCTTTTGCTTCCTGCAATCTGAAATGCAGAATGAGAGGATGACTCAAACGAGGCTTCTTCAGTGCTTGAATGAACAAGTTCCTATTTTACTTTGTAGTTAAAACCTCCGTGGTGATTCACTTTCTGAGAGACAAAGCAAGTTGCCCTTTGTTTTGGTTTCACAGTTAGGTATTTTTATTACATATTACAATTTTTATTGTTGTTATTGATGGCATTACTTTAAAGCTTGTCTGCCAGAGGAATAAAAGGAAAAGAAAAATTGGCAATAGCAAGTCCAGGTTATGACTCCACAGTGCCTTGGTGTTGTTTCCACCTTGTAACAGGTGCATCTGCTCCCTCTTCTTGCCCCCACTGAAATGTGCAAGAAGACATCATCATCTGCAAGCTCAGATCTCTCTTGTCTGATATGTTTTAGGGTAGACAGCAGTATTAAATGTTGTCCAGTGTCTCTTTGAAGAGGGCAAAATCAATGCAATATCCTCTGGCTCCTTCTCAGCCACATCCTTCCCTCTGCAGCATCTTTCACCCAAGCCTGCATTTCTTTAGCACCTCTTTGTTCCTGCCCTCATATCTCATAAGCTCTCTAGAAATTTGCTATTTCCATAGTTTGAGCTGAAGGCTTTGCAGGCAAGGGCTACTTCTTCATACATTGAATATTTGACCAACCAGATCTGGCAGCAGTGGCCCCATCAGTTCTTGGCTGCAGTTATTTCTGGGATTTTCCGTTTTGCAGTAGTTCTCCTTCTGTCTGACCAGAGATAAGGAATGGATAATTTATCTATTTATCAATCCTAGTTTATCTGTCAGTGACCTCTGTTCTGAAGATGCCATAAATAGTGAGAAGTCGTTTATTTGAAGGTAGCCCAGAAAATGGAAGTGAGAATGAATACCAAAATGCATGGTGTGTGAAGAAGGGAGAAAAGAGGGTTACACTGTTCTCAGAATTAAGAAGCTGCAGAAATGAGAGGAGCCCATTTTCTGAAGACACAGATATTTGACAGTTTAAGGAGAAGTGGTAAGAACTTCTAATGTGCCATCTGCTCCTTGAACCTACAAGACCAGGTGTATCACTTTGGACTGAAACTCCTTCTTGCTCAGTGTTCAGTCTCTAACCAATGTCTGAAATTTAAATTGCCTTACAACTCCTCAGATACCTTCCCTGCTCTGTTTAGAACCAGGTTTCATGAACCAGAGGTGGCATCTAGATTGAGTGGCCCTTCATATTTTGTTTTTCTGTGAACTTGTCTGAAAACCATCACTTCTTGGAAAACAGCACATACATAGATTTTAATAAGTTTAAAAATCAGTTCAAAGACCAATTTCATCTTGCTTTCAAAACTGTTGGAGTTACTTTCTCTCTGGTTCTTATTGTGAATTTTGTCTATGTGAGAAATAGAGATAATCAGATTCAAGATCTCAGCTGTGTTTTAGCCATAATTTAATTTCTGGTGGCCTTATGCAACCTTAGTGTCTGGAACTTCCCCTGAGATGGTTCTTTAATGCTTTTCAGCAGTTGTGTTTTCTAAGTATGTTTTCACAGTCTTTGCTACTTTGCTTTCACAATCCTTGCTACTTTTTAAAAGTACTTTCAGTGTATCAAATGGGTGCTATTAAATGTCATTAAGGTAATTTTAAGTGGTAATTTTTGGAAAGCTTTTTAAAATTGCCGAATAATCCTATAGGAGAACCTGTCTTCACAGAACGCAGGATCCTAACAATGGCTCATTTCTAGCATCATGCTTTGATTTTACCACGGATTGTAGTCAAATTATTATGAAGGAGATTTAAATGGGGGGAAAATTCTCTCACCTTTCTTGATTTCATGCTTAATTTTCACAACAGTGGTGAGTTATTCCTATTTGCATTTCATGGTTTTATTTTTGGGATGTGTCATGTCTAGTCTTGGCAGACAGACACCAAGCTAAGGAGTAAAATATGAAGGTTGAACAGTGAGGGAGTTATTATCCAAATGGAGCCTTCTGTTAGAGGTGTCAGCAGAGACAAAGGTGAATGTAAAGAATGAATGGAATAAGATGAGAGAAAGATCAAATAATGGGATAAGAAGTTCAAGCGTGGGATAATGGGTATGATTAGAGATTATTAACAATACAAAATTTGCAAAACGTGCAAAGAAATTCCTGTCTGTTCATTAAAACTTGATGAGGGAACCACATAATAAAACAATTTTTCAAAAAATCATGTTGAGTCTCAGAATGTGTGTTCTATGGTGTTTTCTTCTGACTATTTCTCTGTTTGTTTTTAGGTTTTTGTCTTCCACGTTGAACATCGGTGGGATCTCTGCTGGAACAAGATAATGTCTTCAACTCACTGAAGGAAAGGGGTGAGCAGCTTTCTCATGGCCAATATTTTGTCTTTAGAAAAGAGTGTGCCCTGGAAATAAATATCATCCTGTATTGTGTTGAAAAGGAAGCCAGTTCTAGTTGCTTTTCATGTGTCAAAGGGAATTGATTTTTGTTTCTTTTTAACTTGGTGTGTGGATGTAAGTATCTAACGTTACACAGTGAGTGCCAGGACTAAAGTTAAACAAGAATGAACAAAGAGCCATGCCAAATCTGCCAGTCATGCATTTCTCTCTGAAGGACTTCAAAGAAACATGTTTGAGGGAAAATTAGAAGGAATGATTACTTGTTAACAAGTCTGTTAGGTAGTTCCTTCACAACCCTGAGAGGGTTGGTGGTTAGCATGTAGCCTGAAGCATAACTATTTATATCTCTTACAAACATCTGTTGTAGCTTGTGTATGTTAAAAATGATACCACTGATCTCCAGCAGCTCACTTGCACCTTCTGTTAAAGTTACTGGGTGGTCCCTGTGCCCTTAATTATAAAGGAGTAAGTGGAACAAGGGAGGAGTGGAGTGATGAATGTGAAGTGATCACTTTGTGTGTATATTTCAGCTCACATTTAATCTCCTCTCTTACATGCTCAGCTCGCACAAAGTCTCCACATTTCTAATTATGATTACCCTGCTTCATTTAGCTTCCTTTCTGCTTTACATTTTCCTTTCATACCTCATTTTATAAAAGGCTTCTCTTTCTTTTCCCTTTTGCTTTGTAGACCATGATCTTTTATGAATTCCCTTTTGCCCCAGGTATCAGTGGAGTTTCTGACTGCAGGTCGTGCATGAGCTTCCAGTTACATGACCTTAAGTTTTTCCTTGGGTTTTCCACACGCTTTGCTTTCAAAATAAATAGAATGAGAGTTACTTCTGTTCCATGTGAAGCAGACTGGCAGACTCACCCTCCGGTTATTTTTGTTATTTGTAAGTCTTTGAATGTAACACAAACACACAGTTTTCCCTCTGCTCTCGATTTCTTTCACAGAGAATAATTGGCATTTTGAAAGCTGAGATGTCCAGAAGTCATATATTCTTGTGTTCACCTCAGATACCCAAATACTCTGTGTCCTGAGGTAGAGTGTGCTGCTTGGAGATGGTCCTGCTGTGAGCTGAGAATCGACACACATGAGCCAGAAATTACCACACCAGTAGGTCAGCCAAGAGCAGGGGCTGTCCGAGTGCACTCCAGACCAAGTCAGCTGCTTTCCATCACAGCCACCTTTAGCAGGGAGAGGCCTGAACCAGCCTGGATGTAAAAAGGATCAGAAACCATCCACGTGTGGAGGAGCTGTGGAAGTAATTGTCTGTGGCAGTGATAAACATCTGGGAGCGATAGCAGCATCTGCTGAGGCTCTGCCTGCTAACGAGCCCTGGGTGCTGCATCCCCAGCCAGGTTAGAAAAGCCAAATCTGTTCATTCCTCCTCAGTCACTTTTCCTAAAGTTTAGTGTAGTTTGTTTCTTGCCTCTACTGAGCAATGAGGAAATGTTTCTTTTTAGTGAACAGAAGTAATTCCTCAGTTAATTGCCTCAATTTAAGCGTGTGATTAGCTCAATTTGTTCTTCTTGATTTGCAGTGGTTGTCTTCACTAAATCTCATCAGTTCCTATCTTGCCTAATAGCTTAATCTTTTTCTACTTTAATTATAAGTCAGAGGGGAAGCTCTTGTGGGAAATAAAGGATATACCCATATAGAATTCTTTCCAGTCATTCCCCTGGGAGAATATATGGCAAAAGTCCGTCTAGATGAAATAATCTAGCTCAAAGCTGTGCACCTCCTTTCTTCTCTTGTGTGGCCTGAGGGCCTTCCAGATGTGGAACATCTCTTCATTATGGAAAGCTGGAAGGAGGGGTTAGTCCAGCTTGTCATGTTCTCCAAAAATTCTTGCCATGTCCTACTGTCTTTACCAGTTTACATGTGTTATCTTTGTGGCCTCCCTCTGCAGGTTTTTCTTCGTGCCACAAATATGATCTTATGTCCCTGTGAACTCTTAAGACTTTCTTCCTCTTCTATAACTGTTTTACTTTTATTTTCTCATTTTTGCCTAAGAATTTCAACTTTCTCTCACAGTCAAACAATTTCTTTAGCAGAGTTTTCTGTGGGATTAGATTTAAAATAATAATTAAATAGTGCTTGCTCTTTCTTTGTTTATCTTTTCAACTGTTCTGCTTTTGTTTTGAGGGTAGTCTGGTCCATGCTTTGGATGTCACAGTCATAAATTAAATGTATGTCTTTTGAGAAGGAAGAAAAGCAGCATTTTCTATATGCCTGTTCACTCTATCAATACAGACAGGCACTTGCACTGGCTGTCAGCTGCCATTTATGAAAGAAAATAAATGTTTAAACATCAGGCAAATGCTTACAGGGCTGATGCTTTAGAATGTGTTCTCTTAAAGTATTTTGAGAGGTATTTCACTTATTTGTGGCAGATGCTGATTGAACTTTTAACACTAAATGATTTATAACTGTAAAAAAAAATTAAATCTGAGGTACTTCTATCAGTAAGTGCACTTAGGTTGTTCTTGTATTTTTAATTTTGGTGGAGAAATCAGTAATGTTTTTGGAGTTTCAAAGAAAGAATACTGATATTCTGTAAAAACAGGTGTAACCTAGTTTGTAGAGGAAGCCATGCTTACATCATCTTGGTGGACTTCTCTGGTCTTTGAGCTGTTTAAAAAAAGATTTTAAGAATTGCACTCATACTTAGGAATTACATTGAATGAATTTGATGCAAAGTAAGGCTTGAGGTTTCTCCTGAGGAGTTTGGTTTGTCTCTGTGCCTGAAACTGTTGTCAAAGAAAGGAACCTTGAAATTTGTCCTGTGTCTGCAAAATGAAACACTCACTTGAGACTGTTATAGTCTGTAGGGGAAAATATCCAGAAATGTAAAAATTGCTCTTAAAAATGGTCATATGCAGTAGTAGTATGCAATAAGAAAAGGACTTAAAAATAGTTGCAAAATGTGTAGTGATTGAACACATTGCAAAAAAAATTCTGTTTCAGATCTTCGACTGGTGAAAATATTAAAGCTTAGTTCTTCAATACTGATATAAGTGAAAAAGAGCAGAAAACCTGGAATTATTAGCTGGATGTAATGATTTTCAAGATGTGAGCTCTGACTTCTTTTTTAATATGGATTTTTTGAATATTAGCTAAATATTAGGACTTCTATGTGTCAAGGAAAATTGACTTCTGTGTTAATAGTTACTGGTAATGGCTTAATGAGTTACATGATTTCAGTTGTAATGGCTGCAAATCTGACAAGAAAATGAAATGTGAACTGATAATTAGTTGGGTACCCTCTATCTGGTGGTGGTGCTTTGCTAATTTATTATTTTTTAATTATGGTATGTCTTAACTTAAAAATATTTAACTCATCTGGGCACCAGGCTCCGGCTAATGCCTAGAGAGAATAACATGATGCATTCAGTTGTGTTTAAATCCTATTGTAATTAGTATTTCCCAAAGTTTCAAACGTGTCTGAAATTGAGACTTCTCAATTCCTAGGTCCCTTTTGAAACTTTATAATCACGTGGGCCTACTTGCTTAAAAATTGTTAAATGTTGTTCCCTTCTTTGTTGAATCTTAAATGACTTGGATCAGGCAAATTCCTGATGTCAGAAGTGATTTGAGGCTTGGTCTCTGGAAGTAGTTTCAGACCCTACTTTAGTATCTGGGATTCCCACCCAAATGTGAACAGGATATTCCTTAACATTTTGCATTTGATTCACCATTTTAACTATTATTATTTCAATTAACAGTGATGCTCAGTGGGTTGGGAGCCTTTTCAAAACATAGAAACACAAACCTGCCCCTTTCTAGATTTCATCTATTACCTTAGAATGTCGGTTAAGTAGTGCAGAAATGAATGCTAAAGTTCACGTGAATCTTGTGAGTGCAATAAACCTCAGCCTCTTATTAAAAATTTTACTTTAAAATATAAAAAGATACAATAAACTTTTTGCTGATAAAACCTGTTCTATTTCCAAACTGAATTTATTTCTTGTTTGAATTTGGACGTGGCTGTTGTTGTCAATAAACTCTCTGAGAAGTGTGCATAAATCTGAATTTCTACCTTTATTTTTTCTTCCCCCTTTAGAACTGGATTCTAAGTGGCCACTTTTTTAACCGACTTTTTTTTTTTTCTTTAAAGAATATTTGTTCACACTTATGATGATTTGACACAATTAATGTCTTAATAACCATGATGGCAACACAGACATTAAGTATAGACAACTATCAAGATGGACAACAGGTAGGTGTGTTTTCCTTTCTCTAGGAACTAAATATAATTAGGAAGAGGGGAAAAAAACACCAGTGACTTTATCCTTAGTGCCTGCTTTGGCATTGTTTAAGCTGGAATAATGAAACACAGCCATATGTATTTGGTCATGATGTTTCTTTTTTTGTACAACAGGCTGTGTAGTTTTACACTTTAAATTGCTGAATTAAAATGCTGGTAACTGGAGGCAAGTTGTGAGGTGGCCTCTACTCTGAAGATCCATTTTTCTCTTACTCTGTGTCAGCCCTAAGCAAAAGTACTTCTGTCAGCAGATGGCAACAATGGGGAAAAAAACAGCAACTTTCCACATCTCCTGAAAATGTTCATCTGAACGCAGTCAGATTTTTGATTTTTAGTGTTTGGTTTTTTAATTTCAATTCTAATTTCTCTCTCTCCTCTCGCCTACTTCACATATTTGACTTTATTCCCCCAGCAAATACATACCATCCTATGGCAGTGAAACTAAAATATGGGGTTTTTTCCTAAATAACAGATTGGGAGAGAGCTTTTTTTATCCTATTTGTGTGTAATTCAAGCTCTCAGTGTCCAAGGTAGACAGGTAATTCAGCTGCTTGCTGTTTTTCTAGTTTGCAAATGGCCCACAGAAAAAGAACTTGCAGTTTTAAGTGAGCTGTTTCTTCCTCCTAGGGAGATAGAACCCTCACTGAACACACTCCCTCCTTTCAAACCCTGCAGATGTATGGCCAACATTAATAATCACTTGTCTGAGTCATCCCTTTTTAATTTGCTCCTCCTTCCTGTCATTAGCCAAGAAATTAGTCCATTAGTTACATCTTTTTTTTTTTTTTTTAAAGCATTCTGGCTTGAAAATCATCTCTGCTTGCTGAGGGAGCTCTCTGCAAGGCAGGCTGCTCTGTTGGGTGGGAGATGCTGAATTTTCTGCGTTTCTGATTTTTCTAGGAGATGGCTTGGCCCCAAAAGGTAATAAAGCACAAACCTTTTGGTTCTCCCAGACTGTTAAGAATACTACAAATTTCTCTGCTGCTGTTACATGGAAATAAATTAAATTCTGTTAAAGTCAGGTTCTCTAATAGTTTCTGAAGGCCTTTGTCTCTGCAGCTAGGAGATACCTAGAACAGTGTCTGTCTTCTACCTGAGATAAAAGAGAATTAAGAGAAAAGACTGCAGTGGTTTCATGTCCTTGTGCAGATGCTCAAATGGGAGAAAACCAAAGAGTTTGGGCTGAGGGGTGGAATCTGTGACTTTCACAGTACAGGTTCCTGGAAGACCTTTCAGTCCAAAAGATTTTTAGCTGGAGGTGGTGGAAAAAAAACACTTGGAACACCTTCAAAGCACCCCACAGGTGTGCCCAGCCTCCTAAGGCAATTTAGGAGGTGCTCAGGTGAAGCTGTGGCTCCGTGTCACTTCTCCATGGTATAAATGTGTGTTAAATGGATGTGCAGAAGGAGTTACTGCTGTTCTCCTGTAGTTTGATAGCCCTAAAATACTTGGTTCTTACAATATGTTAAAATGGAGTGCTAAAGGTCATGGGAGGTTATGCTCCTGTAATTGAAGAACTGGAGGGACACAGAATATTTCAGATCTTCTTACGCAAATGTGCATTTTAAGGCACAAGAAAACCTAGAAGATCCTTTTCCTTCAGTACCCTTATACAATGCACAGTAAAAAATAAGAAAGAAAACATGGAGAATAAGCTTTTCTTTATTGATTTAATACTAAAGGATTTTTATGCACATTCCCATGAACTTCTTGGAGCAATGCACTGTAGGCTATTCCAAAAACAGCCATTTCAGAGACAAAACGCTTCAACAATTTACTAATATGTCATTCCCATTTTAAAGGCAAATGCTAAAACTTGGAAGTGACCTTTATCCATCAAAAAGTGTCAGGGATTAAAAGAGGGGTTTTGTTGCTTGTACAACTTCTTGTGTCACTGCCAAGTCACACCAACCTCCTGGCAATAGAGGAGCCCTTTGCACTGCTCTTCCCTTAGAACACAGCATCCTTATTTTACGTCAGGGCTACAGATTTACTCTTCTCTTCTACAGATGCAAGTGGTAACAGAGTTAAAAACTGAACAAGATCCCAACTGCTCTGAAACTGATGCCGAAGGGGTGAGTCCTGCCCCTGTAGAATCTCAGACTCCAATGGATGCAGACAAGCAGGCCATTTACAGGTAGTGATGGACTCGTGTTCTGTCTTTGGAAGGGGGAAGGATAGGGTAGAGGATTTGGGGTTTTTTAATAAATAAATAATGAGGAGCTTCAAATCAGGTGATCTCTTGGCTGTCTCCATGGTTTTTAAGGGAAAGAATGAGACCAAATAGGCTTCACTGTCAGTCATCAGCCAAGGAAAAACCTCCTGAGCTGGTGGGATTTTTCAATTTCAGCAATTTTAAAGCTGCCAAATCTAGAAAGCTACCTTAGACTTTAAACTGTGGTCACTATTTGTCATATTGTAGTGTTTATCTTTAATACGAGCTTTTACTTTTATTGTAATTAGGTCAATCTTTACTCCGTTTTCTTTAGGGTTAACAATCTATTCCCCAGTAATTAGCTCAAAATGGATGAAATATTGATGTATGAGCACACCAATTTGAGATTTTTCAGTGAAGTGCTGTGCTAAGCAGTTTGCTCAGTTTTCATGGGGTTAAATGTCCTTTTATTTCAAGTACTTTATAAAGACACACATTACTGGTTTTCAGGTTAAAAAAAACAAACAAGAAAAAAAACAAATAAAAAAAAAAAACAAAACAAAAAACCCACCAAAACAGGAAAAAGCCAAACAAAATACAAAAAAAACCTCAACCTGAAGCAGAAAGATGTATCCATTCATTTACAGACTTGAGCTAACAAAATCTTCTCTCAGAGCGTGATTTCACAGGAGGCCTCTAAGCCTGAATACTCTTCTCAATTTTTTAAAGTTATTTCGTGGTGTCTAAGTATGGCCCACATTGAAGAATAAATCAATTTTATCAGGCTTCATTTAAATCTGCATTCATCCTCTTTGTAAATCCTAAATCTCATTTCTAGTGCACTGTATTAATCTGTCTCAGTGCCACTCAATTACAGTGAATTAAACAGTCTGAGCTTTTTTTGCTTGTGATTGTTTTCTTTAATTAAATATATACATATTTTACTATTGCATTTGCCTCTGGAGTGTGGTAAATCAAAATGAAAACAAACTTTTATCTTATTTTTCTCTAGCCAGTGGTGTTACATGCAGTCTCTTCCAGAACTTGTCACACTCACATGAGTGACTGTGAGCTTTTCTGAGCTAGATGTCTTAACTTACTTATTCATGTATTTAAACTTTTTTTTTCTAGGCACCCACTATTTCCCTTGTTAGCACTATTATTTGAAAAATGTGAACAATCTACACAAGGCTCAGAAGGCACAACTTCTGCCAGTTTTGATGTAGATATTGAAAACTTTGTAAGGAAGCAGGAGAAAGAAGGAAAACCTTTTTTCTGTGAAGATCCAGAAACTGATAATTTGGTAAGTATTAGCTGTTTCTTTCATTTCTGAAACAATCATCACATTTGCAGCTTCTTCCTAATTTCTGATCTCAACTGGTCCTTATAGTTTCTCTTCACATTTTTCTGCCTGTGAGAGATTCTTCTTTATGTTAATGATTAAAAATATATTTAAAAATTCCTTCTGACCCCCCTTTCCCTTTTATCTCTAAATTTACATTGGGCTCTTCACATTTGTTTCCTGTTCTCATCTGATATGAGTGTATTAGAGACAAACAGAAACAAATCCTTTCCATAGCCAGATTGACTCTGAAAATTAATTTTAGAGTGTCATATGTTATCAAAAACATGTAATTGATGTAATTTTTTTCCAATTTTATTTAAATCACGCTTCATCTCGTTAATGTGAGAGAAGAGCTGTTATAAGATGATCTTAGTCTTTAACATACACCATTTTTTCTTTCATGTCATTGACTCCTTTAGGCTTTCTGAAAGTCATTCCTGTGATGAAGCTATGATTTCCCTATTTTGAATAGAGCTGCCATCAATATTTTACTCAAAAATGAGAGTTAGTTCTGTTCTGCACGAAGCAGGTCTGCTGACTTGTTAAGCCTCAGGTTACATTCTTCATTTGTGGCTCTCTGAATCCAACACAAAAACACTGTTTTCCTGTATCTCTTTAATCCCAATTTCTTTTCAGAAGCACATCTGAAATCTAATCGTTGGAATGCAGTGGCTGTATGGCTCAGTGGATGAGAAAAGAGCAGTGGTTGTGGTTTACCTTGACTTTTGATGTCTCTTACAATGTTCTCATAGACAAACTGATGAGATAAAGGAGCAGTGAGGTGGACTGAAAAATGGGTGAACCCTGGGCTGAGGGGATTCTGGTCAGCAGCACGAAGTCCACTTGAGGGCTGCTCATAAGTGCTGTTCTCCAGAGACTGATGGTGAAAAATCTGCATTAGTGACTGGGGTGATGGGGCAGACTGAACCCCCAGCAGGTTTGCAGGTGTTAAAAACTGGGAGGAGGGGCTGATCCTGATCCACTCATGGCTCTGCCACCATTCAGAGGTTCTCCATTGCTTTTGGAGAAGCAGAAAAATGGGAATCTCATGGAATTCAGCAAAGGGAAATGCCAAGTCCTAATAAGGGAAAAGGACAGACTGACTCTTCTCAGTGGTGCTCGGTAAAATGGGCAAGAGGAAATGGACATGAACTGAGACATGGGAGGTTCCATTAAACCTTTTTACTCTGAGGGTGGTTGAATACTGCAGGGAGTTGAGGAGTGTCCATCCTTGGAAAAACTCTAACTCAGCTGGACATGACCCCAAGGAACCTGCCCTACCTGACCTTGCTTTGAGCAGGGGGTTGGATTAAACAATCTCCAGGGATCCCTTCCAACCTCAGCTATTCTGTGGTTTCTGTGAGCCTCCAAAGATCCTGCTTGCCTTGGCCTGTTCCCTGTGCTGTTGGTCATACATAAACACTCTCTCAGATCCAGCTTGCTTTGGTTGTAGTCGGGTCTGGTATGTTCCAATAGTCCTTCCTGTCATTGACCTGTTTACAGTTTTAGTTTGTGGTTCCAGTGACAAAGTCTCTTGGTTTATGTGGTGTTCCCCTTTGCTGATGGGCTGCACAAATCTGGCTGATTTTGCTTGAGGTGGGTAAGGAATTATTTTTTTATGTCCTGGATTCCATGGCTGCTGAGGTCAGTAGTGGCTTAAACTGGAACCACGTTGCAAAATCAAAAATCCTTGGCATTGAACTCCTGTCCTGTGGTCGTATTGTTAGCTGTGACTTTCTGTTACTGGATACCAAATGAAACCTGAGTGCAGCTTGTCCTCTGCCTGTCCTGGAGGCTGGGAGCTCTGAACAGCTGACCTCCTGACAGGCTCTTCATTTGGTATGGAGCAGTGAGCACAAGTTTCTGTCAAGTTGTGAACTGGCTAGCATGGCTTTCAGCCTCTTTTCAGCTTGAAATATTGGTGCTTAGCACAGGGAAGGCTGCAGACAGGCAGTTTTTTCTGCCTCGTGTCATATATATTTTTTTAATAGAGATAAAAACAAAAAGTCTGTCTTTAGAAGCAAGAAACACCATTGTGCGCCTTTGTTCCATCTTCTGCTCATGCTGTCCTTCCCTTTTTAACTCCAATGTTAATTCAACCATTCATCTGAAAGGAGAAGCTATTAAGACTGATAATTAGACTGGGCTAGAAGGGTGGAGCAGAGTCAAACAAATAAGGTGTAAATGTTTGCTCAGTAGGATCAACTCGGAGCCAGAGCTAAACTGAGATGAACTGAGCATCACAACACTAAAGAGCCGAATTCAAGTCCTACCTGAGACTCACAGGCCTGTTACAGTAAGAAAATTGGTCAGCTGTTTCTTTTTTTTTTCCTTTTACCTCTTTGAGATGTAGAATTCAGGACTGCAGTTTCTGCGATAGACCTTCAACTGACAGCTCCAAAGCAGCAGAATATAATTCCATGCTCCATGCTGTCTGTGGGCTAATTAAGTAGATAACAGAAATTATGAAGGGTCACAGATAGTGATTGTAGGGTCACTTACAGTCCTGGCAACTTTCCACATTGTGCACTCACTTGAAGTGCCTTGAATGCTCCAACAGAGGAGTTTGGAGTTCATCCAGAGGACCACAGAATGTTAATCTGGGTAGCTCAGGCATTAGATCAGTTTGACCAGAAAGGAAGTTCATTAAGAGCAGTGGATGCTTGTTCCAATTTGAGTAGCTCTTACTAAGCTATGGTCTAGATTATCTTGTTACTTGGGTATTATAATTCCCATTCTAAATTAATTGGTGGCTTCCTGCTTTGGTATTAAAAAGGATTTCAGCATCAAGAAATATAGGTAGCATCCACCTGAAACTTAATTTTAAGGATACTCACTAAATTGCCTGTAAACCAGATTTCAAACCCTTGTTACTATCTAGATGGGAGGATTCTGTTCTAGGGATGCTGTTCTTCCCAGTTAAACTCTCCAACAACATCAGCTGGTGATGTTGAATCAGCAGGGCAAAGGGTCATAGTCAATCAGGAGAATTGTTACCAGGCCTTTTTTACTTCTGCAATGTCTTTCCCAAGTCTGGGTGCAATCCTGGGCCACGTGCTCTGGGATGACTCTGTGGTTCTGTCCTGCAAATCTCCTGTTTTCAAAAGCTGTGGGAAGGACGTGGAAATGTAGACTGGAAATGGAATGTGTAGACTGGAAATGTGCTTTCCTAGAGTTGTAACTTCCACCATATCTTCTTGGAATGTTGTTTGGATCTCTCTTAGTCCTTTTACCAAGCATCAGTGTCAGAAGATGTGGGTTGGTGTCAATAATCAGATTTTGATGGTCTCTGTTGCTGCTTTCTGCAAGTGTGCTCAGCTTATCCATATGACTTGGGAGTATCATCTCTTGGGGCTCCACACTTTTTTCCCCTTACCCTTTGCTATCCCTACCTCCTTTTTACAGATAAAATAGATCCTGGGATGAGCCAAGGCAGCAACTGCTCTTTGTTCTCTGTTTGTGCAAAAAGTCTCCTTTTGTGCATAGGACATCCACAGACAGACTCCTCTGTGTCTAAGAAGTTGTTCAGCATGGGTGCTTGCAGAGAGTTTTTTTAGACTTTTCACAGATTATTTCATCTTTTAAGACATTCATTGCTTTACACCTTTTTTGTTGCTCACTGCTAACCCTGCAGAAATCCCATGTTGCCTCAGGGTGGTTCCTGCCTCTCGTGTTGCTTCTGTTCAGAGTAAACTCTACCCACACATGGGTGCATTTTTAAATTTCTCTGCATTCATAGGACCAAAGGATGGTGTGGGCTGGACTACAAGCTCAAGAGGTTTGTAGTCCAACTTCCTGCACAGAGTAGGGTCAGCTGTGAGGTCAGAGCAGGTTACTAATGGCTTTGGCAAGTCCAGACACAATACAAAACAAGGAGTGTTAAATATACTCTCCCTTTTGTATTTGAACAGGACACTGCCTTTTTTGAAGACTCCCTGAGTTTTTTGTTTATTTGGGGTAAGGATTTTTGGTTCAGTACCCTCTTTTCAATTCTCTTGCATTCTAGTTGTGTCAGGAACCTGAGCTGTAGTGGTGAAGCCACCTGATGTCATTTGAATATTGACTGACCAAGCCTTTCTGAATCGTGCTTTTGCTGTTTTAATTTGCAGAACTGTCCCATAAACCTCTACTTACACCTTTTTTAACTGTGTTTCATAGCTGAGGCCTCAAAATAGAGGAGTGAGGTTACCAAATCAAAACAAATGAGAATAAAATAGCTTTTCTTCAAGAGTTTATGTTCTTCCACTGGAAATCTAAATTGCAGGAGGATTTGGGTCAGGGAGGTAGGTGAGCTGTGAATGTAAAGATAAAATTTCTTAAATTTGGAGACATATTTATACATGAATAGGCTCTGGATAGTAAGAACTGGGAGTTTTTTCAATAACTTTTCTTCCTCTGCTTCATAGTTTACCATTTTCCTCACTTAAAACAATTTCAACAATAAGGAAGGTGTCCCTGCCCATGGCAGGGGTTAGAACAGGATGATTTTTAAGGTCCCTTCCATCCCAAGCCATTCTAGGATTCTGTGAATATATACAAATCTCATAGTTACTGCATTTTCATGCATTTCTCTGAAGTGATACTCCAGTGCTATTGCTACAGCTGAAAAGACTGAATCAGTTCTAAAATTTCATTGTTCTGTGGCATATTCTATGCACCAGCACTGAATAAATGTAATATTACTACTGCTGTGACCTGTCTGAAAACACTTCTTTGTATTACCTTTGTCCAACTTAAGTTATTTTATCTGGAGTTCTTGGTTCCTGTAGTTTTAAGGAAAAAGTGAACTTTTGCTGGCATTAAGTTTGGTCCACCTGTGCTGCAAGAGAGCAGGAGCCATATGGCCACAATTAATGTAGCTGTAAATGAATTAATAAGTCCTGGTGACAGGCATGGCATATTTGCAAAGTTTTGTTTTCCTCCTATCCACAGCAGCACAGCTTCCTGCAACGAGCAGTGTGATGGAGAGGGGCTCTGCAGAAACCTGGGTAGTGTTACTGAGTCTGGGTTTGTGGTTAATTTTGACTTTAATTCAATTTTCACCTCAAGTATCAACCATCAATTTTAAACTAAGTCTAAGCTGAAGAAAGGACTTTCATTTTTCCTCTGAGCACATGTTGATAAATAGTACAAATTTGGCTAATGTTTAAAAAAACCCAACTGTTTTGACTGAGTAAAAATAAACTAATCTCTAATATGGTCAAATATTATGTATCCAAAAGCGTATTTTGTTACCTCAGTTTTAGTTGAATGTTTAAAGCACTCACTAATATGATGTACAATTTGCTGATCAGTCACACATGAAGAATTTTATGTTTTAAGCTTTTTTGTCTCTGAAACAGAATTTCTTGAAACACAGATGACCTTTGGTTTGTGTTAAAATTTAGTTTAAGTGCTTTAACTTTGTTGTGTTTAAAGGTGCTTAAGCACAGTTTAAACAGCAACCTGGGCTGGGTTAGAAAAATCACTGGTTTGTGTCTCAGTGCTGGGTCACTGCACTTCGTGTTTCAAAGGCTTTCAGTGTCATTGGCTGAAAGAGTTACCAGATACTGGTTTGGATCAACTCCCCCAAATCTACAGCTCAGATTTTTCTGCAGCTGTTTTTTGAAACATGTAAGTTTGACTTTTTTGTAATTTTTTTTACATATGAATTACGTAATGAAATATGTAATTTTTTTTCTTTTTATCCCTGTGAAGTAATTTTTAAAAAATCATTTAATTTCTTAACTTTTTTCGTCTTATTTATTTGAACACACAGTTGTCTATGCCAAGTGAGTGTCCTAGAACTTTTTGCTGAAAAAACAGGGAAAAGATCTGTCTCAATGAAAGCTAAAATGTCATGATGGAGAGGGGAGCACACCCAAAAGTTTTCCTGCTTTGCTCTTCTTTGAGCAAAGGCATTTTCAGCTCCCAGTTGTCTCCTTGAATTGGAAGTGACAGATAATTAGTTTGGAGGGTATCATTTCTGTTCACTGGATTCAGTGCTCTGCCCAGGTAAATAACTCGTCATATAAGACAGATTTTTTCCAAATAATTGCAAAGTCAAGCTCTGCACTGTGCTTCAAAATTACAACTGTTCAGTTTCATAAAACTGCAGGATATTTGTCTCAGAGATCCAGCACAGCACAGAAACATTGGAGGTGGCATGTTGTATAAAAAATAATTACTTTGCTGGTGTGTTGTGTACATATTTGAATGTCCTGGATTTCCTTTTAGACCATCTGGATTTGGTTTTAGCTTCTGATCTTCTGCCATGACCCTTACAATCACCAAAGCTATTTTTATGCAGTATGTAATACCATTGGTTATCCAGGCTTACAGTGTTTTCCTCACAGTGAGCATGACAAGTATTCTCCTCACATATGTATCTCCTGTACCTGGATTTTAGCTTAAACGTGGATTTTTTTTTTTTAATTTGTTTAGTGCTCTGTATTTAATGTTTTGTTTTTCAGAATCAGTCTCCTCACCTGAAAGTTCTTACAGAATTTCACCTGAGAGTTGTTCATCTTTGACATACAATCACAGAGGAACTTAAAAGCTGTAGCACTGAAGAACTGTTTGATTACTTTAAGCTTTGTTGAACAGCGTGATTAAATTTGGGACCTCTTTATTCTAATTTTATTGAAAAATAAAAGCCTTCATCCTCCCTAGCAGTCTGTGGGACAAATTTATGCATAATCACAGGAGTATCTTCTTTCTCACTGTATCTCCAACTCCTCTGTACCCTTCTGGTTTCCTTGTGTCAGGGTGTAACGTGGAGCTGAACCTGGTGTTTCTGATTTATAGAGCTCCAGGGAGCTGCTGCTGGCCCAGCCTGTCCCAGCCCTGCTTTCCACATCATTTGTGTGGATGGGATTGCTTTCCATCACCTCCAGTCCTGTGTGGTCTGTGACCAGAGTTGTACCAGGGGGTTAGAGACCACATGGGCTCATCCTGTGCCCTGTGACACCTGAACTGCTCTGTCTTCCTGGAGTGGCACATGTGACAAAGATCATTTTGTTGTCTCATTTTATTTCCCCTGTGTGGCAGTTTACTTGTGTTCCTTTCACATTCCAGCACTTAGCAATTAGTGCCTCTGCTTTAATTGGGTGATCTTTGTTGCTAGAAAGTGATGTTTGCTTAAATCTTACATTAAATACTTTTTTTTTCACCAAGAGTTATTTTGTTTCTGATTTTTTTTTTCCAATTCTCTCTCTCAGATGGTAAAAGCAATCCAAGTTCTGCGTATCCATCTGCTGGAGCTAGAAAAGGTTAATGAACTCTGCAAGGATTTCTGCAGTCGTTACATTGCCTGCCTGAAGACAAAAATGAATAGTGAAACTCTATTAAGTGGGGAGCCTGGAAGTCCTTATTCACCTGTGCAATCTCAGGTGTGTTTCAAATATTGTTCAGTGGGTTTTTGCTTAGATTTCCTTTGGAAGTTACAGCTACACTTCTGTTGCCATCAGTTTGCAAACAGAGTTTCTGCAGTTTCCTGTATTCTCTCAAATCAGTTATTAAGAGTAGAAAGAGCTTTTTGGGGGTTTTTTGGTGCCACTGTCTAATGGACAAATTTGTTGAAATGTGCCAGAGCACAAAGTCAGTTTTTTATTGTCTGCCTTCCTTTTATGATTTTCTCTCAGTTTAGCAAGTGGAGATATTCCAAATAGCCTGGATTTGCTATTTGGTTGGAAGGAGGATAGGAAACAGAATAAACAAAGAAGAAAAATTTTGCTTGTTAAGGCCTCCTTAGTTTTCCTCCTTCATTAAAATATTGAGATGGCTGATACATTTTATACACAATCTCTGTATTCTGAAATAAATGGACAATATCTGATGGATTAAAGTTGCAATATTGCATTTTCTGTATTAAATGGACCACAGTTAATAGGTTAATAATAGATTATGGTTGATGTTTTTGCTGTCAGATGTTGCAGAGTAAGCCCTGCCACCCCAGTATCCACTTGATCCTGAGTCTTAGGGCATTGCCCTTCTCTGAATTATTCATCTGTCTGATGCTCTGTATTAAAAAAAGCCCCAATTACTTTTAAACTTCACTTTTTTGACTCCTTGTATAGGTTTGATGTCTGGAATTGTGGAAAGGAGATTCTAAAATCAGGCAAAACCAGCTTTTAAAAGTTTTTTTCTGTACATCTCTTCTAGTTTTCTGTAGAGACATGAGGGATCCATTTTGCATTTGCTATCAAAAGAGATTATTCATACATAGTAAGGAAATGTGTAAGAGTTTGCACGTTCAGGGTTGAGTAAAAGCTATCTTGAGCAGAATAAAACATACTGAATATTTAATACATTATGTTCAAATTGAAAGAATGAAGGTAATAATTAAAAATCTAAAGCTTTGATGCTTGTAATAAGAGCATCAAGGGTCATTTCATTTGTCCTTTTTCCCCTCTTAGCTTTGGAAACTGTTTCTTATTCTTTATATACCTAGAACTAAAATTTCTCAAAATTGTTTTACATCTTTTCTAGCAGTTGCTTTCATGAGGGTTTTCAAAGGTAATGGTTGGTGATAATGAGGAAGTTAATGTAGGTAATGATGAACCCCTAATGAAGTATCTTTCTCTTTGAAGGTAATCCTGTGATTAAGCTCCAAATGTATTTTAGAGCCAAAAATACCTAATACAAATTACAAAAATATACGAGCGTGCTTGATCGCCTTACATTGAAAAAAAAAAAAAAGTTAAAAAAATGTAAGCAACTAATTGTTTTGTTTTTCTAGCAAATTCCAAGTGCCATTGCAGGCACACTCAGTCCCCAAGGGATCATGGTGCCAGCATCAGCATTGCAGCAGGGAAATGTAACTATGGCAACAGTAGCAGGTATGACACACTAAAAACAACTGGCACCTTGCTCTTCATCTTGATTGCCTTTATGGTTGTTACAAAAACTACACAAACACTTTAGAAAACGTGCTTGAGTACCTGAAAAGTTGTTGTAGTACAGTCAAGTGCTTTACTGGTTTATGAATGTTTGTGTAATTTATATGGTTTCCAAGTATGTCTATGGGAGTGGCAGTTACATATATAATATTAAGAGATCTTAAAGTGCAGCACTATGTTTGTTAAAAGACATTTCCATAGACTGGTGCTTTACTTTTTTTTTCGTCCTTTAAAAAGAAGAACTCTTTGACAAAACCATGCATTAGCTGAACCATTGCACTTGTTGGCTACTTCATGCTCCTTGGAGTTTGGGGCCACACTTAAAAGTCTGTGAAATCCTTGATGTCCTTGTTATATGGAAATTACATTTGAGATGAAATATTTAGTCTTGCTTTTCAGCAAGGTTTTAAATCAAACCCAGCTGCCTGCCCTAAGCACATAGGTGTGATTTTGGTGTTGTGACCTTTGTTGGTTGAAGACTTAGCTCATTTAAAACAATATGAAGAACTGTTTTATAGCCTGATAATCATGACATTTTCCTTTGAAAATAGATTTAGAATGCTTAAAATACAGGGAAATATAATCAAATTTTGTATAGCTTTTTGTGAATGGATGAAAATTTTAGTGCAGCAAAGAGCACATCTTGCATGCTGACTAGAAAAGAGTAATTGATATATTATCAAAAGTCTTGTATGGTGTGCAGTGCTGATGTGTTTAAAGAGAGTAATACTTGAAGGGCTTTTTCTTGCCCATAATCTGTGGTTTCTATTTTGCTTCCAGGGGGGACAGTGTATCAGCCAGTCACTGTGGTCACTCCCCAAGGACAAGTGGTGACACAGGCGCTGTCACCTGGCACTATTCGCATCCAGAACTCTCAGGTTTGTGTCATAAGCTCCACAGGATGGTGTTCTGGGTGGAAATGCATCTCAGTGGATTTAGGAGTTTTGATTTAACACACTGGCAGAATGAGCTCTGTGTACACACAGAGTAATTAATTATAAATGGGTGCAGCCACTGCTGTGGGAGTTACAGGTTGTATAATATGTCATAAAGTCCCCCGTGCCACAGCAGCTCATCAGAGTTCCTACCTGTTAATTGTCTGCCTTTACTGATGCCAGAACAGTACAGGTACATGAAATTAAAAAAAAAAAACCAAAAAAACCCAAACTAAAATTTAAAAAACTCCACCCCTAAACCAAATGAACAAAAAAAAATCCCCAACAAAACCACCAATGCAAACCAAAAACCCCTCTGAATTAAATGAATTCTTTTTCAATTATTATAACTTTTCTAATCATTGAACTATGTTCATGGCTGTATAAATGTAATGTATTGCATTAAGGATCCACACTGCTAATGTGAGAAATTTGACTTTTTATCACAATGGCAACCACTAGTACTGTGAAACCGTATGTATTTCAGAGTTTATCTATTTTGAGAAGCATTTTTCTATAAAACCTTCAAAATATTTAGTTGAGACTCTGGGAGATCCTCAATTGTGTCACCTTACACCTTAAAATATAAGGGCCAGCACTCTTTTGTGGGAGACTCTTAAGAGCTGGATCTGAAGAGTTCAAAGAAACAACTAAAGAAAAAGAGACATGAAAACTAGACCATCTTCTGGTAAAAAAAAATACAAAACCTTGCTAGCTTTCTCTGAAAGTGGTAAGCCAAATCTTCCTGGAATCTGGATTTAATTAGAAATGTGAATGAGGAGCTCCCATCTCCACAGCATAAAATCTGTTGACAATCACTGACTCACTGGCTTCTTTTCCCCCTTATTCTGGCCTTCCAACCAAAAAAGTGTGCACAGAGTGTTCTTTGAATTGGCAGGAGCATGTCTGTACTCAGCCATGTTCTCCCCTAGAACACTGACAGCTCTGTCCTCACACACCTCTCAGAAAGAAATGTGTAAAATTACTCTCCTGAGGGGATTTTGAAGAATTGGGGTTTTTTTAGCTTTTATGGAAAAAAAAAATACCGAGAGGAAAAGAATGCTTCTAGCCTATAAATAAAAAAGGACTTGACCTTCTGTATACATCTGTGACTACTCTTGATTTTAGTAGGAGTCTCCAAACCCACCTATGCAAAGGTCACTAATGGAAAATCCTTCTTCAATGTCTTCTTTTTCAGTGTTTCAGAATGCTGTGGAGGTAGGGAAAAACACTGTAAAAAAGCTATTGAAAGTTCATTATAAATCCTCCATATGCTAGCAGGTTATTTAGAATGTAAGACATTACTTTGGAAATTAAAATGTGCTCCAAATATGTATTTGTAGTAATTTGATAGACTAAACCTTGTTTAAAACTCATTTCCTGCATATTGATTGGCTTAAGAAATTGCTCCAATTTGTCTGGAAAACCTGATTTAGAATTATTTTAGTTACAATTGTCTGAAATAGAATCTTATATGCAATTGATGTACTGTTTCTTTCTATTTCTGCATAAGCATTTAAGAATGTATTCCCAAATGTTCAGATAACCAATGTGAAAATGATTTGATGAATCCATAGGAAGTGAAAAAACCAAGAGAAAGAAATATGAATATTTAGGAAGTAGTATGAATGTTGTAAAATGAATTATAGGTTCTGCTGTATAGATCTTAATGCTCTTCGAGAATTTAATGCATATATTTAGCAGGACCTTTAGCATCTTCGTTTGCAACTGCAGCCTAAGAATGAATTTTACTTTATCCTTCATTTAAGTCTTAAATCAGTAATATTTTACAGCTTCCATAGTTGTTTATGTTTGCACACAGTGAGTATATTCAGGATATTCAAGCCTAATTTCTTTTCATTCCTTCTATAAATGAGTTGTTCATTCATTGATACAGAACTGCCATTACTATGTTAACTGCCTTATTTCTCCTAAAATTACATGTGCAGCTCCAGTTGCAATTAAACCAAGATCTAGGCATCTTGCATCAAGATGATGGCTCATCAAAAAATAAGAGAGGAGTTCTTCCCAAGCACGCTACAAATGTGATGAGATCTTGGCTTTTTCAGCACATAGGGGTAAGGACTGAGCATGGTCATTTTTTTTATGTAGCTCTTTCATGTGGTCTCTTACAATTTTTATTCGTAAACAAGGTGAATTTATTCTGTTCTCAGTTATGGAATCTCAGTTCAGTTTTCTCTGGAGTCATTTGGAGTAGTTCCACAGTCTAATGCTGGTTGACTTTTATTAATATATTAATAAATAATACATTTGTACTGCATGGTCTCAATAAGTATTGTTACAAGGAGCCTTTCTTCATTTTTTTTGTGTTGAGAGCTTGATGCTCTCTACACCCTGGTTCATGGCAGAACGAAAAATAATTCCACCTATATTTTGCAGTGATTTAGGGGTGTTTCTGACTGAGAAAAATTTCAAATTTTCTGTCTTTATCTCCTTTCCAGTCCTTCTCATGTGTACCAAGCATGTCACTGTCTCCTTGTGCTTTCAATTGTCTTCCCTTTGCATGAATACTTTGAAAGGATAAATGGCTCTCAAGCTATTACAATGCTGAGTTGATTGATATTTTGCCTTTTACAACTGTTTTGCACAGAGAACTGATCCAGGGAAGCTGCGTGTGCACTTCTTGTGTTACATGCCCCGTCCTCATCTGCTTAGAGCAGCTTTATTTAACTCCAGAGTGCTCCTCAGTTCTGTGATTTATATAAATAAATATATAAATAAATATATATATATAAATATATAAATAAATATGAGAGCTCCTCAGTTCTCTCATATGACACTGCCCTGGCCAGCAGAACTAATCAGAGCTGCTCACATGCTGTGCTGCCCAGGGATCATGCTCTTTAATAAAGACTGTCAGCCATGAGAAGCTTTTTCTTCTAAATTACACAGCAGCAGCTTCATGGTGCCACAGACACTCTCAAGGATAAAATCAGTTTTTGTGTAGTAAAGCACTCTTTGTTGAATTATTTTTGTCTATAAAAGTTTGTGACGTTTCTAAGGTTTGTGTTTTAATGAGTCAGATGGCCTTAATCCACCCTCTTTAATCAGATGTAATAAAGGAGTTCTTAGTTTTGATGAGGAGATGAAAAACAGGCTTATGCCTTTTTTGTTTGCTTTTCTGGCCTCTGTAGCATCCATATCCAACAGAGGATGAGAAGAAGCAGATTGCAGCACAAACAAATCTGACACTACTCCAGGTTAACAATTGGTAAGAGCAAAGCCCTTAACTTAATATCTGTCCTTGTCTCCAAGTGCTTACAGCTCAGAAATAGTGAGGACGATAACTTGGACATCTGGAGTTCAACCTAAATGTTCTACATATGTTACAAAACATGTATAGAAATACAAGAGTTATGCACTGGCACACAAGCACATTATTTTTATAAGGTGTAATAATACTCATGCCATTTAAATTATATAAGGACTCCAGAAAACATTGCATTATTAAGGAATTGTGTTCTGTTCCAGTGCTGAGAGAGATGGAAGTACTCTCATATCTCTTCTGCAAGTAAAGAAATTGAAGTCTAAAGGCATTTAGTGGCCTGGTGGCTGCAAATGTTTAAGAAGTTACTGCTAACAGATTCTGTTCTTGTACCAAAGGATGCTCTCCTGAGCAGTGATGGCTGAATGGAGAGGCAGTTCCTCAGCTACACCAGTTCATGGTTCAGCATGTTTTGTCATGTCTGATCTTTCCTGGAGGTGTCAGATCAGACACCTGCCCTGCAGAAGAGAGGAGGGAAGGTGCTGACACTTGTCCTACTCGCCTTGTGGCACCGGTTCCTAAAATTGCTGCAGCAAAGTCCCACAGGGTTCTGTCTCAGATTTCAAAGATGACACTGGCTGGGAGGCTGTGGAGGGGTCCAGGGGGGGAAATAGTCAAGATAGTGACAGAACACTGGTTCCAAAAGTGGAACAGGGTGACTATGCCTGTGTGACATGTGGCCATGGAGCTCTGTGCACTGGGATCTGACTGCTGTCTTTGCAGAGCATTGTATTACAACTTAGGAACCTGCCAGCTGCACCTGATTTCCTCCCATTGCAGGTAAACTTGGGACCTGGATGTATTTTGTGATATTTAGGGATGATGGCTTCAGTCACAACTCCCTGCCATAGCTCAGTGTGGAAGTTGATTCAGTTTAAATATTTTTCCTGTTCACTAGCAGAAAGGGGAAGGGCAGCAATTAGCATGCTAAAGTAAGCAAGTGAAAATCAGAGAACTAAAAGGAGCCAGGACAGATCTGTGAAATGTGTTTGCTGTCATCTCCTGCATCAGGAGCCAGCCCTTGGAAGGCCAGGGAGCCTGTAAAATAAGTAATGCAGAAGCTTAAGGGAGTAAATGAAACCAGACCAAACAAAGCAGGTTAGGCAGGGGCTAGATTTTAGGTGAACCCTAATGAGAGGAGTGTCAGCTTTCTGAGCTGGGCTGTCAGCAGGTTTTCTGGTGCTTAGTTTTTAATAAGATCCTGAAGTGTACATCTGTTGTGCTGTCTGGAGAATTTTTCCTTCTGAGGTGGGGAAAAATGCTGTTAGCTGCAAAGTGATAAAACTGCTTTCTTAGCTAGTTTGCCAAAATTGAAGGATGCTGGTGTTCTAGGAGTGGTTCTACACTTTAAAAAAATGTGAAGCCCAGCTGATAGATTTTATATTGCTTCTTTTTTTCTCCTGCTGCATACTTTGTGAGAGACAGAATTTACAGCCAATTGGTCCTAACTTCACCTTGCCCTCGATTGTATTTAGGTTTATCAATGCTAGAAGGCGAATTCTTCAGCCAATGCTGGATTCCAGTTGTTCTGAAACTCCAAAAACAAAGAAGAAAACAGCCCAGAACCGACCAGTCCAGAGGTTCTGGCCTGACTCCATTGCCTCAGGAGTTGCTCAGCAGCAATCAAACGAGCTCACGATGTCAGATGGTGAGGAGAGCTGCCTGAACATGGATAACAAAGTTAATTCCTCTCTGACAGGGAAATGGAGGGTTTGATGCCTGTGGTGGGAGGGAAACTTCTGGATATTTCAGTATAAACATGGTTTTAATCTGGAAAAGCATAACAGAAATGTGTCACTTTTCCTCTCTTTAACAGTTTTCTGTGGATTGAGCAAGGGTATTATATTGGAATTCATGTTGATAAACTTGCTTTTGTTTCAAAAGTTATGAAATGACAGAATAAAAGCTGTAAAACTGAGATGTACTGAGTTCTCTCTGTGTGCATGGCAGGAGTGTCCTGTTGGATAAGCAGCACTGGGCTGCAGCTTCAGCTTCATGGCTGAGCAGCTGCAATTCCACATCTGCCTCATGGGCTTCAAGCTGAACAATGAGAGGCAGAAAAATGTCACAGAGCCTCCACAGACTTTGACTGAAGTAACTTCCTCAGTGTCAGATCAAACAAAAAGATTTAATTTAAGAAAGACAAGTAACTGCTTTAATGCCAGGATCATCCTTTCTGTCCTGCTGCCTGGTGCTTTATTCTTTCCAGTTTGTGAGAAATTTTCCCTCAGCCTCTGCTGGCTCTGACAGCAGCTTTATCCATTGAAGTTACCTTGAATCTTAACACTCCTCTTTTTCTGCAATGAATTAAGCTGGAATACTTTGCAGAAATGGCCTTGTGATGACTTGATTGGAGAACTGCTGTAGTTGGTGTCCATAAGACATTTAAGATTCACAACACAAAGTTTAAGATTCCTGACCAACCTAATTCTGGCATTTCCTGATATTTCAGTATATGACAACCTATATATCTTCTATTTTAATGTAGTTTCCTAACTGCTGATTAGAAACCAGCTCTGTTATGTATAAGCAGAAGGAAAGCAAGGTGCTGAAGTGCTGTGACTGTGCCTTCTGCAGGTGCTGTCGTGACCATCACAGCTCCAGTGAACATGAATGTGGACAGTCTGCAGTCCTTGTCCTCTGATGGTGCCACCCTGGCTGTGCAGCAGGTGATGATGGCAGGGCAGAGCGAGGATGAGTCCGTGGACAGCGGTGAAGATGATGGGGGAGACCTCTCAACAGCAAACATCAGTGGGCTGGTCTTGGATAACAGCGACTCTCTGCAGTAGGAAACCAGAGAGCCTGGAGAAAAACACTTAGGAAAAAAGAACGGACTGACTGACTGACTTTTTATAGTTTGCACAGCAAACATTTTACACAAGTTTTATTTCTAATATGTTTTATATGTAGATATAGAAGGGTGCACTTTTTTGTATTTCATAGTAAGCTTAAAGAGTGTTTTTGCAGGTGCAGCAACTTCTTTCAAATGTGTTTTGTTTTTTTTTTGTTTGTTTGTTTCTTTTCCTTTCCTTATTTCAGAAAATTATATCTAGTAATATAAAGAACCACGTAAGCACCCCTTTGTTCTCTGAATTGGAAGTGCTGCAGTTTCTGATGAATTATGCAGTTTCAATTAGTGCTGTTATTTAACACAGCTTTTGATGGGCAGGTGATGTAAATTTAAAGCATGTGACACTAGTGTGTGAAACTTGATTATTGAGTTAGATGCATATATTTGAAAGATGCTTCTGCACCTTAAAAACTGCTAGTCTGAGGTGGACAGCAACACACATAAAAAAGAAACTGTTGATGTGTGATTCAGTAGAGAATGTATGGCAATTTAAATAAGTTTAGTTTCTCTCATAGTCCATGAGCCTGTTTATCATTTGCTATAAAAACTCCTATTTTTACCTTGCTGGGGTTATTGGATAAAAAAAAATATTTTTATAAATTCACTAGAAATTGGGATGACAACTGTATTAAGCAGGAGGAAAAAAAAATAATTTCCAGAGGGGAAAAATAAATGTTTAGTATTCCTATTTGGAAGGTCTGAAAATTGACCCAATTTAATAAACAAGCCTACAGTAGCATTCTATGATTCTCAGCTATCCCACAGTGATATACTATATTTGATAATAGCATAAGAAGGGCCCACTGTTTGATGGGATTTTGATATTGTCAAACATTGATTTATATTATGTGTAAACTAATATTCAAATTGCATAACTCTGTATCTAGACTTGTATCTGAAAATATTTGCTAAATGAGTATTCAGGTAAGTAAGTTCAAATACCCACAACTTTTCCAATTATTAGAGAAATTTAACAGTTTATAGTTTGTACAACTAAATCTAAAAAAATGAAAAGTTGCCTACTATACAGTCATGAATTCTGCTATTTTGTTGCATTTGAAATATTTTCCCCGAATACAAGAAGAAAAATATAACATGGATTTATATAAAATTTCTTCAGATCTGAAGTTTACTACCAGAATATACAGCAGGCTTTGTTAGAGTAGGAAATCCTTGTGTGTCATTTAAATAACAAAGAGCTGGTGATGAAAACAGCTGGGTTTTGGTTTGGCTTTGTTTTTGGGATTTTTTTTTTTTTTTGTGGTAACAGTTCATTTCTTTTATTTTCCCAAAATTTGAAGTCTGTGATTGTCTATCCATGAACACTTGCTTTTACATGGAACTTTGTATTTCCCGTTGTTGAGTACAAATAAGAGACTCAAGAACCTCATGGTATGATCAACACCCTCTTTTGTCCCTGTCCATTTGTCACAGTGTTCAAAGCCAGAACTTCCTTCTGATTTATTCCAAATCTGGGGGTGTTTCTAACATGATAGGGAGAAAGGTGGTAGCCTTTAGAATCTTCAGGCACTGTATTTGAACAAAGCCCTTGGGCAGATGCAAGTATTTGATTGAATACTTAATTTCTGCTTCTCAAAACACTCAGGCACATGCTGAGGTGCCCTTGATTTCAGGAGGATGAAGGAATTTAATGCTGGACATGTTTAAGGGGTTGGAAGCTGCTCATGGCAGATTGTCTTCCAAGGCAAGGTTGAGTTGGTAGGAAGAAAAACTTCAGGAAGAAATACCAGCCATTGCCATACATACATGGAGAATAACACAAGTTTTCAGTGACTGGGGGTTTTGGGGTTTTTAAAATGGTTTTTACCCAACACAAGAGGTGTTTCAGCTCTGTCTGTCACTGAGTCCTGGCTGAGCATCTTCCTTAGTTCAAGTGCTGTAATGATCTGCTCCACTTGACTGGTGATTTCTAAAGAATTTGTTTTCTTCTGACTTCTCTGCTTTGCCACTGATGTGCCATGTTTGTTAAACAGCACAGTAAAAGAATAATGAAAGATGTAATTAGGAAGGCTCTGACACAGCATGGCTATCTCAAAGGCTGTTGTCAAATCCAGTTTGACCCCAAAACACTTAAAAAGACAAACCATGTACAAATCCTGCTCCCTTGGAAGCATTCAGCCCACTGCCCTTACAAGAGATAGCTTAGATTACTGGAGCTCAGATTCTGTGGTTTTGTTTTTACTTGTTTTTAACTCCAAGAGTGCTTCATCACCCCCACCATCTCCATTCAATTGCAGGTTATATTTGTTGGTTTGTTTGGAGGTTTTATTGGAAACAACCAGGCCTCAAAACCTCAGGGTTTGCTAACTTCTGAAAGTTTTATTTTTCAGAAAGAAGCCATTTTCTAGTTAGCTTTTTTTTTTTTAATTATTATTCCCCCCACCTTACATGCAGCATTTCTCCTCTTCCAAAACATGACCTTGTCTTCAGCTACTTTATCAATTCCTGGAGTCTGAAGCTGACAGAATTTACTGTGAAAGGGGAATATGGAATAGTCACTGTCAGATTAGAAATACAAAAAAAAATATAGGAACATGAATTCCTAAAACTGAAAAGGCTTCACCAATGTAAAAGTATTGTTTCACATATGATACTCAAACCTTTTCTTTCAGTTCAGTGAGAATTCTGTAGTGTGTCTGAACTGCAGGGAAGTGCTTGTTCTTTTATGATTTAAAGAAGAAAAAACAAGTGGAGTCCTTTTTTTTCCTGTGTAGGAAAGGTTGCTGGTTTCAGCAATGCATCACCATTCAGGAAAGGTACATGTTTACATTAGTTAAAAAGTATTTATAGGGGACCTAACTTCAAGTCTGTGTATAGTTCCCTCCCTCCCTGCTCCCAATTAAAGTCATATTTGTATGCAATAGAACTAATTTGGTTTTTGAATCAATGTGATTCTTCTGCAAATACAATTATTGAAACTTTTTTTTTTTCAATCTAATCCAAAACAGAGTTCTCAGTCCAATTTTTTCAATATTCCTGGAACAGGCAAGGCAATTTTCTGTTGTGTTTTTTTTTTTTTTTTTAACTTTGGAAGCATTACAGTTCAGTAAATCAATTCCAAAACAATCAGGATACGTTTCGGAATGACTGTTACAAAGAAATAATCACGTTGGAAAATACTCAGAATCAACTCTGGCTCTGCAGAAGGTTTTCTCCATGTGGATATTTTCTCACCGTGGAGTCCTGCTGACCCCGGGGAAGCTCCACGTGGATCCATGTCAGGCTGCATTTGCCTTTTTCTGGTACCTGATCTCTGTCAGAATCTCTTGGAGACACCTCCAGCTCTACCTTGCCTGCACACCTGGGTCTTCTTCCAGGTGAAACCTGGGTATGGGTGAAGGGCTTGGCAGGGCAGGATTTCATGGCGACCTGGGGTGCAACAAATATATTTTTTTTTAATGTTAAAAACGCGGCCAGGAGCCAGGCCTGCAGGGAGGAATTGCAGATGCCAGTTCCTGTGCTTCCCAAGCAGCTTTAGGTTTGTGGATGTTGGAGGGGAACAGGAGCACAGGTGGCTCAAAGCCCAGCTCCTGGCCTGAGATGGGCTCAGCTGGTCAGAGCTGACACCCAGGGCACAGCTCTGAGCCCCTCCTGGGCCATTCACTCCTTGTGGGTCCCTTCCACCTCAAATACAACATGGATTTGTTTCTGGAAGAATAACAAGTCCACTTTCCTGACTTCAGGAACTTGGCAGCCCGTGGGATAAAACAAAAGCCTTTCCAAGGGATGATTGTTGCACTTAAAAAAAAATCCAGAACATCCTGGTGTTTTGAAAAATTGGAACACATGCATTTAATTGTAATTAAAGTTGATTTAACATTTTATTTTCTGAAGTTGAGTCGTTTTGCGAGAAAAAAAATGAATAAGTATTTGTCTATGCAAGACACAAATGTCAAAAATGTGTGAATTACCCATTTTTAGGTACTGTATTGTTATTGTCTTTCTGACTTCTGTTCCTTTGATTAGTCTCTTCAACCTTTCAGCCTTACATTTGGCTTAGAGTTGAATAGGCAAAATGTAGTTTTGAAATCCTGTTGGAAATGTAACTAACCTTCGTTCCCTCATGAAAATCTCGCATGTTAAACAATTAAGTGAAATGTTTTGGTTTCCTAATAATAAATTCAAACTCTCACCACCTCCTGAAAACAGCATATCCGTGAACATGCACGTTTAACTGTGGTGTGCAAACCATCCCACAGCAGCTGGGTGCACTTTGCTCTTCACTCTGCAGAGGAGCTGAGGACAAAAGCAGCTTCATTTTGCCAAACTCAGCGTGGATTCCTTCCCCCCTCCTCTCCTGGCCTTGGCATGCTAAACTCCTTCTGTGTTGTTTAATTTTCAAATCCTGCAGTAAGCTGATGGTCCAGCACGAAGTGCAGTGAAATTGGCACTGATGTGTTTTTTGGTGATCGCCCACATCAGGTAATTTGTTCATTCCTGTCACCTGGAAATACAAAATCTGTTCCTTTTCTGTGACTCAGTTCTTTAGGACCCGCTGAGTGCTCACAGTTGGTTTTGCCAGAGAAAAGCAAGGTGTGAGAAGGCAGGGAAATGCCTTTCCAACCTTGTAGACACCCATAAAGATTCCAAGTAGGTGTAAATAAAATGCAGTGTTTCAGGTAGGACAGAAGCTGTCCATAACCTGCCCATGGACTAGCAGCTCTGAGTCGGTAAAATCGACAATCTTTAAAATGTGAACCCTGCAACTTTTCTTTCCTTGGTCGTTAAGGGATTTTCAAGCAACTGATCTATCAAGGGATGAAATTAAAAATGAGAATTTGCTTCATGGATGATTTGTTTTTACACTGCTGCTCTCTATGAACAAAAAAAGCACATTTTGGAAGCAAAGCATTTACATTGCTTTAACAGTATTGTTTGGCTGAAAGACAAATACGTTTTCAGGAAATCTTGAGCATAGTTTCAAACTATTTAACCAGTTCTTGGCCAGGGAAAGTCCTTGGCCCTTGTATTTGTTTGGGGTTTCTTGTTTATGCAAATGAAGAAAAATGTTTACTAGTTCTTAACAGTGTGGGGATTTTTATTACACTTCTGTAATGCAGAGGCAGCTTTGATGAAAGAAAGAACTTACAGGAAAATAGTCCATAATGTTTGTGACATTGGGTGGGGGTTTTTTGTTGTTTTGAAATTATTAATTAAAATGGCATGGACATCAAACTTCAAGTAATGGTTCCAAGCATATATGGTAGTGACTTATTTAAAAACACTTCCTCTCTGCAAATCTCATGTGCTAATTTGTTTAGCCAGATTGTAATACATTTCTAAAATTACCAAATCAAAAATCTTCAGGGAATGAGCAGCTCCTTTATTACAAGATTCTTCTCAAGCAAGAATCTCAAACTCATTTCATATCTAATGTGCCAGTCCTGCTCAGCAGAGATTAAATCAGACATGGGTACTGTTGGATTCACTTCTGCTGAGTACTGGAGCATTATATATTCCTGCTGGAGCAGTATTTATTTCTGCTGTGCTTTCCCCAGCATCTGGCATGGTGACACCCACGTGTGCCCCCAGAAGGGAGGAGGGCAGATTTTGGATCATATTTTGTGGTTAGAGGGTTAATCTGGGGAGAGCCGAGTAGTTTGTGTTCTAGACAAAGGAGTATTTATCATTTCCTTGTCTGGCATTAGAAGAGTGTCTGAGAGTAGTGCAAGTAACTCCCAGTGATATAACTGGAAATAATTTTAACTCCACTGCTGCCATGGAGCAACTTTTTCCTTAATCTGAAATGAATAAACAACCAAACAAAAAAAAAAATCCCTGTACCTGTAAGTACAATGGGGAATGGCTTTAGACTGAGAGAGAGTAGGATTAGATTAGATTAGATACTAGAAAAAATTGTTCCCTGTGAGTGTAGCAAGGCCCTGGCACAGGGTGCCCAGAGCAGCTGTGGCTGCCCCTGGATCCCTGGAATTGTCCAAGGCCAGGATGGACATTGGGGCTGGAGCAGCCTGGGACAGTGGGAGGTGTCCCTGCCCATGGTTTGTGCTGGAATTGGATGATCTTTAAGTTTCATTCCAACCCAAACCATTCGTGATTATGTTTATATCAACTAAATTAGGTCCCATATTGAATATTTTTAGTTGAATGGTTTCCAATTCCCCTGAGAGATAAATCC